CATATTTATCTTGTTTAACATGTCTCTCGTCTCTTTGGCCGCTTTTCTTAGTATATTACTCAATCTCTTTTCATCTCATTCTCATTTAGTTACTCCTATGTGCATTTATTACTATTTCATATTTTCCTTTTTATTATATTACTCAGTTATAAGCATTACTTGATTATGTTAATTCTAATTGTATTCAGGGAGTCGGTGGAAGATCAGAACATGCCTGTGCAGCAACTGAACCGATAACCCCTGTGGTTTCCATTTCTTTAATTTGGTGGAAATAAACACATTATTATTATTATTTTTTTTTATAAATTTTCCTCACTGTCTGTGGATAAAGCTAACAAGGCTTTCGCAAAACTTATTACTTGTGGACTTGTTCAATGCATTACTGTGTCGTCAAATGTACATGGGTCGGCTGAGTTGTCCCGCGTCGTGGCCCGGCGAACCTTGCGACGCTCGTCCGAGGGCAGGTGGTTATTATTATTATTATTATTACTATTTATTATTATTATTATTAAAATGCTTCTCGGGAGGAATACCTCAAAATTTGTTATAAGAGGAATTGCAAGAATCCTTCGAGATGAAACTCTGTCTTTAAATAACTTCCAAATGAACGCCGTTACCACACATTAAATGGGGAAGAAGTCTGTACCTAAAGGTACCAAAAAAAATTTTCCTGTCCCCATCTTTTTTTGCCCCCATCCAGAAACACCCTTGATAGTTACAAGTAAAATAATACAAAATCGGATGCAAAAATCGCGGAAAAAAACGGAAATAACCTTTGATGTTTTTCTTTGTACTTGATTTAAAGATTAGTTTGGTTTAGAATTCTTAATCCACATTAATTTGCCTACTTTTGATTCTAATAATCCAATTAGCTCAATGTTTCGTATGTATCTCTGAATGTGTGAGAAGCAGAAGAAATATGCGCTTCTGCAATTTATTGAGTATATAAGATATTTTATTAATTTGCTTTTTTTTGTTTAGAAATCCCCGAGTACCTGGAAGCCTCACAGTGTTGACAGAACAATCCTCAAGAAGGGGGCGTGTGGAGGAACCGCCACCTCCACCCGCCCCTAGGGTTTCGTCCAGATCATCACGTAATGCGGCACAAATTCAAGATGGCAAACACGGACAGTGGAAACGATACACGGACTCTCCGGGAGTAGGAAGTCCACCGCCCCCACCCGCACCGGCACCTTCCAGTCCTACGGGCAGCCGAAGAGAACGGAGAAGCAGTCCACATGGCAGTAAAGAAAAAAGTTCCAAAGTCAGAGGGGTGCCACAAAGTTTCGGGTACATCAAAAGGAATAGCAACTCAAATGGGACCAACGGAACTTGTTCTGTTAATGGAACTTCTCCCCCCGCGACAGGTATTTGGAATTGTTCAGACGCCTCAAATACGTACCTAACAATCATTCCAGCTGCCGCAACACAAAACTCTTCTGGAAAAACCGCTCAAGTTTCCGCCGTACCTCGAACCAAAGTTAAAGTATCTGGAGGTACACAAACTTGTTCCAGCGATCTTCAACAGCCTCAAAGTAAGCGAATTTTCCCTATCAACTGAATCACTAATCGATATTGATAGAGACCCAATACAAGAGCTATTCCTTAACTGGTAATACCGCAAATCAACTCAGCCAATCGGTGAGGGAACGTTTACTAATGGGCTCACAAAGTTTACCCAAAGGTGCCGGAAGTGGACAAGAGTATGGTCTCGTGCTAAGGCAAGCAAGGGTTAAAGCTAGCGATGGATCTTTATCTGACACTCAAGTTGTCGATGTATCTAGTCCATACGCCCCGTGGCTGAGGCACAGGTAAATCATACGTCATCGTTACGCAAAATTTAATCGTTTCTTGTTTTAGCAATACTTACTCCGTAGCTCCAAGATTATCCGAAACAGATAGTTTGGAAAGCTTATCTAGTATACCTGGTCATCGTGGTAGTTTAACTCATACACGATTACTCAGAGATTCTCCTTCTAGGCTTAGTAGAAGTAATAGTATTAGGTAAGGCGTGCAAGGTTGAACGTTTTTTATATCTATGACATACCTGTATACAAATACGTTTTTCTCCACTACAGCTATCTGAGAGATCGGACATTTCCAAGGTATAGATACAGGAGGGAAAGAGCAATCATAAATCAAACTGAAGTTAATGTTTTGTTTTTGTTTCTCCTCTTTTAAAAAGTACCAATATTTCAAATTATCATACATTTACATATCGAATTCCGTAGGTAAATGCGTAGACTTGTTTAATACATAATTTAGTCATCTGTCTGTACAGGAAGTAGGCATAGGGATTTACATGTATTGTTTTTCCCTATGTCTACTTTTAAATGACAAAATATTCTGAAGAGCGCCTAATTTTATGCAACCAAAATAACTTCTTAAAACAAACAAAAATCAGGCTGTGTTAGTTACTTTGTTGCTTTGCCTTCACAGAAAATAAGTCTTACGCTCCTTAAACTGTTACAGGCACTATATGAGAATATCAACTTTTTCTAATGCATCGCACACAACAAACAAAAATACGGAAGCCAAAGTAACATGACACCGTTTTGAAGAATTGATTTTGGTTGCATCTTGCAGAATTTTGTCATTCAAAAGTAGACATAGGGAAAAAACAATGTAAGCAAATCCCTTGCCTACTCTTAATAAATATCACTGCATACAAATTTTCTACTCTGCTACCATACACAACAAAACCTTCTGGAAGACTCTTGTAGGCAACTCTTGGAGACTGGTTGAAAGGGTTTTTTGTAATATAGTAGCTCCTTGTTAGGGGTAGTCCATAAATAGCAATAATAAGAATGCTTCAATAACCAATATTTAATAACTATAATAGTATCCAAAATACATCTAACCTACATTCTCTTACGTACTACTAGAGGGCGCCAGTAACCTGCCTACTTTACTATATTTTTAATTATCCATAAAAAACTCTGCAAGACAAGTTTATTAAACTTTAACGTCAATGGCTTCATGGATGATCCGTCCATCTAGAGAGTAACAGCGGCAGTATATTTTCTGTTTCCATTTTGTAACCAGTATCCATCATGTGGTGGAAAGCCAACGAGGAAGATGGGTTTAGTTGCTTCTTTGAATATAGACTACTAATCAAAGGTTGCTTGATTGCCAAATTGTGTTCTAGTGCTGTTATGTTTGTTCTATGATGGATTTACACCTTGGTTTTCAGGTTTTCACCTCATATTTAATCTTTAGCGTTTCTTAAGAGTTGTTGTATTGTTATAAAAATTGTTTAAATATCTTTCGAATTTTGGTCTTGGCCAATTTTTTAGCGATCTGTAACACTTCTGATGTACAAAAGAATTTTGGGTTCATCGATCCTGGAGACAATTTTTAAATTTTAATGTATCCAATTCGATTCTTGTTTATAATTTTTCTAACTTGATTAATTCGCTATATTTTGCATTTCATTCATCATTTTATTAAATAAAGTTGCCAACTATAATGTGTCTTATAGTATTATTTAAATTTAAACAATGCTTATAGGTAACGCTATTGAAACCATATTTGAGTGATCATGCCTAATACGCGTGGAGTGCCCCATGGATCAATTCTCGGTCCAATTCTATCTTTTACATCAATTTATATTTCAATTAGTCCCGTATGGCTGTGACTGAAGATTCAAAAAATGTTTCTTGTTTGTTATTATCGACCAGGTGTGTTGTTATTCACTGCATTGGTTTTTTTATGGTTAAAAAACAGAAGGGGGAGTAGTATTTTGTCTTTAGTTTTCAAATGTTTAAATAACATTAACTTCAGTTCTGACTTCACCATGTTATACCTACTGCTTGGCACATTGTAATGTCCGCTTTTTGTGTATGCAGTATTGATAACGTACCTATACACACATCGACATTGTTTTTGTTTGAAGAATTGCTTTACGGTGTGAAATTCATTGGCAGTCAACCCGTTTGTATAGCCACTATTTGTTTTAGGTCGACAAAATCTGAAAAATTGTACCCTTCGATGCTGCATCGTAACACTGAACCCGACACGGAGCCATATTATTGTCTACCCGTTGGTGCCGTCCTTAGCCATTGGTCTCAACCGACAAGTCCCGCGCCCGGTTCCACACGAACGTTTCCTTTATCACCGACACATTCTACTCCACGTCACAGCATTCCTAAAAATGACGATGGTTTGTGTAGTAGTAGTACTCATCTAATATTTCAATTAAAATGTAATTCTTGTAGTGCACGGGTCTTCCATCAGCTTAGTATCGACCGCATCCAGTTTATATTCATCCGCGGAGGAGAAACAAGCTCACGAAATCCGAAAGTTGCGTAGAGAACTTACTGAAGCTCAAGAGAAAGTGCAGACCCTCACCTCACAACTTAGTACTAACGTAAGTAGTCTATTTTTCAATTGTTTTGTAGCTAGTTTGAAAGCGTACAAATTGTTTCATCAGCTACTGATGACGTGGGATTCTGATGGAGTTTTTCGCCGACACTTTCTTGAATTAGAGACTTCTGTCTTTGGCCTAAAATGCTTTGCAAGGAATATTAAAAACAAGCATATTGTATGTCGCATAGACAATACCTCACCAATGGCTTGTATTAATAAAATGGGCATCAGTGCTCAATTTCAAAAACCTAATCGTTTAACTAGAGGTTTGGCATGGGCGCATTTCTGCTTCTTATGTAAGGTCGGTTGAAAACATAGATACCGATCGAGAATTGCGCAGAGCCCTATCAATAGAAACGGAATGGGAACTGTTTGACCTTGCATTTGGGAAAATCTGTCACACGTTCGGTTACCCGGTCATTGATTTAATTGCGTCTAAGTCAAACAGAAAATGTGATCGATTTATATCTGCACTGGGTCAAATTTTAAATTTTGACGTAAGTGATAGCAGTCCTATTAAGAGATTTTTTAAGGAATTTAATTTAGATCTAATTTACCAAAACACAGCCATATATCTGGAACCCGGCTATAGTTTTAGATTTCCTATCCGAATTGAATAATGAGGAAATATCTTTAGATTTGTTATCTAAACCTATCTGTTTTTGGCTTTAGCAACTGGACAAACGCTTTCTAATATTTTAATGGAGGACATTTATTTATTTTTATTTATTTAAATAATTTGAGCTGCCAACGGGTCAAGCCCACACAAGGCATCTACAATTTACAATGGCAGAAAATAATAGGAAACTACAAAGAAAACTATAAAGAAAGCTATTTATAAACTTAACTGACAACTTTCATAGACATTCATAGACTGACAATCGTTCTGTTTTTATATTACTTTTTATCAAAGATATGCTTTCATGAAAAACATCTATCCCAAACTGTTTCGCTCCCCGTGCCATAACGATTTTAGAAGACAAGATTGAAATCAAGATTCCCTCAAGGGATTATGACCTCTGACAAAAATCGTTATCAGCTGTTGCGTATTCCATTTTTTAAGGAAAAGCTATTGATTTATGTGGCCATACCATTTAACATACTTGGTTGAGCCCGTCACCCTAAAACCACCCCTTAACTGTGATAAGTCTACCTTTTTTGAAATTTGTCTTAATAACTCTAAAACTAGGCATTTTAAGAACAAATGTCAAGGGAGAAAAATTTGTTGTAAAAAGGTAGCTTTTAATCTCTCTTCGGCCGGCTGGTTGGCTGGCTGGGAGTAAATGCGGGCCCGTAGAACAACGCTTGTGGAAAGAGGAGGAGTGTACCTACGGAGGAATGGGGCTTCAAGATCTGGGGTCAGCGACATCTTGGCGCCATCCCCGAGTGTTATACTAACGTGGTGATTTTTCAGTGTTTTTCTATCTTCTTCTATACTTTGGCGATTGTTTTCAAATTGGTTCTTTGGAAACGCGCGCGCCGAACTCCTGACTGACAACATATTGTTTTTTTTTCGGAGAGGCGAATAAACCACCTTTTGCAAGGCGCGCGTCTTTGAGGGGTAATCGGCTTCGGCTGCCCAAAAGTTGCCTTCCCCTGTGAATTTTGTCACGCGGTTTAAAGCAACACTAACTGCAAGTAGGAACTAAACGGAAATGAGGTGGCGGAAAAGTAGAGACGCCCACGATTTAGGTGGAGGTGGTCACTTCGAAGACCCCCTTACAGAAGGCAGTATTGAATTCATCATGTTTTAGGCAACCTAAGTGAACAGTTTCCGGCGTTTAATCGTAATACTTATTTAGAAAATACCATGTATTTCGATTAAGTAGTTGAATGAGTTGCTGAAATTTGCGCCACTGAACATGTAATAAATTTGATGCATACCTATTTGGTATCAAATTTTCTTCTCTCTTGACATTTTTTCTTAAAATGCTTAGTTTTAGAGTTTTTTAGAACCAAATTTCAAAAAAGGTAGATTTTACGCCACTTAGGGGGTGGTAGCGTTTTTTGAAGCGCAAACAAATGATTTTTTATGGAATGATACAACTGGACAAATAGTGCAATAATAATTATTTGTACAACTAGAGAAGAAAGTGAAGTGAGAAACATTTTCTTCTCCAAGTTTTTCACATAATTTTTCCTGAAATTACAATCAAAATTCAAAAATTGTCGTATCCAATAATAAAGTTTGACACATAGCAATCTAGATACGGGTATGTTTTAATTTTAAATGTCATTATTAAGATTAACGCAGCAATTGTTTTTTTACTTTCCTCACTAGAGAGGAAAATCACATTTTCTTCACCCTTTTTAGAGACGAAAGTAGTTGTTTCTAAAGTAGTTTCGGAAAAATGTATTAGCGTCGATAGTAGTACGATTTCCTCCTAAAAAGTAAAACCCATTTGTAATTCAAAAACGGACATTCGCCATTCGGGTAAAGTATGACGATGTGCAAAAAATCGGACCCCTTTTCCATTTAAGATATTGTATATCTATCAACAGTAATAAAGTGTATTATTGCATTAGTTAATCGGAATACATTTCTAATTCAGAGACGTGAACAGTTGCTGACAGCTGACAGTTAGGCATTTATTGAACAAAAACAAGTTTTTCTTTTCGAATAAAGTTGGTTCAATACGGAATCTTGTGATTTTATCTTGGAGGGGTTTATCTATTATTATTATGATACAAAATAGAATGGGCAGAAATCATATAATTAACCTGATTTGTGGGTGATCTGACATTCAGTATAAAGTACGCTAATAAGATCAAGAATCCGGTTTGCTTTCGATCGTATAGGTAGGTAGGTACGCAATTTCGCTTATTAGAAGTGCGTACTATTGGCATTGGGAGACGTAGGTACTTCACATAAGTTCCTAAACAAACGTATTCTTTCGGAATGAGAAACGGGTGATTATAGGATCGGTATAGGTACCGTTAACCGTTACAATGGCAAAAAATTGTTTTTTTATCTGGCACAGTTATGTAAAAATGTAGGTAGGTAATTAGAAAAACGATTAGAAGCGCACTTTTGATTAAATTCAGACAGCTAATTTTTTTTAGTGAAATGAGCCGCTCTGGATCTTTTGACAATATATACCCTGCGTCCAATTTATCAAATTTGATCTCGATATTCATCAATTTAATCGAATGGCACCATAATACCTTGATGGTTCGCACGTTGAAATAATAAAAGGTGGACCTCAATCTAATGTCAGTAGGAAACATTCAAAATAAATTATGGGTTTTTACGAAGACAAAAGAACGGTTTTGAAAAATACGCCATTTCAATGGTGGTAGAGAATTTGCTTACAAAAATTGATATTCTCAGATCTACTTTTGGGGATGACTTGTGCCTTTTTTTAAAATAATTCCTAGTCACGATCCACAACTCGAAATTCTATGGTATCCACTGATCTGGAGGTATTACGAGTAGGTATCATGGGCGATTATAGAACATAAAAAAGTACCATTTTGCAAAAAAAGTACCAGTGGATATTATTTTTTGTTTAACTAGTCCGTCATTCTGTTGCAATTTTAGTGACACAAAAAGAATGCAAACCGGCGTCCGTCTGGCTAGTTTGAGAACACTACCTTCGTTCGAAATTTAACAGAACCCGAAAAGACGACGTTGTTAAGTTAGCTTCTTAAACGGCGCCACAATTATCCTTTAAAAGGGTCGTAAACACTTGAGCTACCAGAAATGTACTTAAAAGTACATTGAAGCATCCGTGACTCGATGCCGTTCTTTACCATTAGTTTCGGGACCTAACGGTTCTCGGTTCCAACAGGTGTTACTTTTGCTTTTTCCTTGTCCTTGTGGGCCGAATACAAATACCTACGTCTTGTGTACCGGTAGATTGCATTGTAGTACTAAGATGTAGAGAAATCAATCGACATTTTCCAGGTAGTAAACCGGTCGTAGTACGTGAGGGATCATCTAATTATGGTAGTAAGAGGCGCCGCCAAGTGTATTTCTTTATTTGTTGCGCGTTCGCAAATTTTCTATATAACGGCAGGAAGAGCTCGACAAACAATTAGATAGTTCACAAGCAGCGGGCGAAGATATAATTACGGAACTAATTAATTTAATCATTCAATGTTAGACTTTCTTTATTTACAAATCGTCGATATTAAGAAAGACGTATTAGGTCATATCAAAATTCTGAATGACCCGGGCCAGTTTATTTGACTTTCCAATTACTGCGGCCGTACACGTCGTCGTGCCCCAAGTAATCACGCTTGGCCCATTATTATTTAACAAAAAAAAAATCGTTTCCCTAGCCTGGTTATGGTGTTTCGACGATTGATGAACAGATGATGTTTACGACACGGTTTATTTATGTAGATTTGAAAGGAGTCGAAACTATTTTCCGTTTAGTAAATTTTATTTGGTTACAACAAATTTACTACGTTTCGTTTGTATTCCTTCCATCGGGCCTGCTTAGAGTATAGCGTTACTGTAATCAGTCTTCATTCGGTCCTCGAGCTTTAAAGAGCGTCTGTTTTATTTGCTCCCTACAAAGTTGACGTATAGTTAAAATGTGTTTTAATTAAGTAGTTCTTTTTTGTTGTTGAACGGAGCGCTTACATTTACTGACGGTGACGCGGTAGCAAAAAAAAGTTGAATGAAAAACACTTTATTTGTGCTTGTGTAATTAGACCAATTTGCTATAAATTGAACTTTTGTGCAGCTTACCATCATTCAAAGAACCGGAAGAGAAGAATAATTGAAACATTTTTCTCATTGTAGTTCTTAATTAAAAAAAGAATCGTCACATATTTGGAACACATTTACACTAGTCCCAGTAGCGGTTTCGCTTCAGAATTGTTTTTAGGGTAGCTTTATTTCGGTAATACTATTCCCAAATCAATATCTCTATAAGTGCACCAGTTACTTTGGGAAAAAAGTCAAACTTAGAATCTTAAAAATTAACAGTTATAACGCCCATCATATAAGAAAGTCATCAAAGAATATACGGGAATGAAAATTTTCTCATC